TCTTTTGGTTGTATTATCTGCCTAACCTCGTTGAATTCTGAGCTTTCCACGGACTTGAGGGAGAACTTCATTTTTCTGGGGTCTTTCACCTGCAAACACGACATACATGCGTTCACCCATCTCTTACATGCCTTCCTCAACCCTGGCCAGTCTATTCTGTGTAAGACTCTTTGTTGCACCTTATATATCCCCTGATGTCGCATCTGGTCGTGCGATCTGAACAACACCTCTGTTTGATAAAGCAGTGGTAATATGATGATATAATGTTTGTGTAGTTTCATCTTCTCGTCTGTTCTCCTGCAAGCCACCACGCCATCAGATGTGTGCTAGAGTAAGTCATTTCGTTCTTTGTAGAACTGGCTCAAGATCTAATAGCTATCTTCTTCCAGGTCTCCTTTCTCTTTCACTCCCGTCCGGATCCATTTGGAGAGTTTGCTTGTCTTTTTGTCGTTTTTCTGTGCCCGTATCAGATCTGATAGCCTTTTCTTCGCTTTGACGTGCTCATTCAGATCCATCATTTGTCCGTTCAGTTCTCCTGGATTGTGAATGTCGTCCCTAAGCTTGACGCACACTATCCTTCTCAAGACCTCCTTTCGTCCTCCGGTTCCAGATTCGTCCTGATGTCTGAGTTACATGAGAGTTCCCGAAAGGTTCTCTTGGTACTGCTATCATCTCTATCTCCTCCCCTCCGTTCACGTCATGATGCTCCAAATTGTACGTTCCGGACGAGGGATCAGTCTGCAAGTCCCTGTCGTGATACATCCTTTTCTCTTCAGCTAATATCATGCGGAGACTATCTTGTTCATCATCACTCTCCTCTGAACTTTCGTCCTGTTCTTCTGACTCCCCGAACAAACTTTCATCTTCACCATCACTCTCTGTTGTCGGCCACTCCCCGGACTCTTGATCTAGTCCGAGACCTTCAACTTCTTCCTTAAACGTCACTTTCTCCCTTCGTAGCGTTTTTCTCCTGAGTATGTCTTCCGGGATATTCTCGACAATCGTCCGCACCACCTCATTGTTCTCAATTTCCCCGGCTTTCTTTGAGTCCCCATCACGTGTGACTCCTCCCTTTCCCTTATGGTGACTTCCGGTTTGTCAATGTCTCTGTTCGAGGCCACGGGTTTGTCATCAGCCAGTTTCTCAAGCAATCAGATTAAATCCTGCCCTAACGTCGCTTTTTTCCTGTTTCCACTTCGTCGTCCAGGTCGTAACTTTTCTCCTTCAGCGTCTCCCTGACTATCTTTGACTGAGCAGTTTTTCTATTGGCATCCCGGATTTTCTCATCAGTATTGTCTTTTCCTGATGCTCAGTCGGTAATTTAGAGTGGTCTTATATCGGTTTGCGTGACCTCTCGAGCAGTCTTGTGAGCGGTAGGCTATCATACGTCTCCCTATACTGAGAAGCCATCTTTTATCTCCGGCCTATCAGCCTCCCTCTGTTCCTGCCTCTCTTGGAAATCCGTTTTGTTACTCAAGTTGTCGGCATTTCGGTGTTTGTCCCTCTTTCTATGTTCGATGATCATATTGTAACCATCCAACCGCACTATCCATCTACCATCTGATCCATTGAGTACATTTTCAGCTAATTGAGTGCCCTTTTGTCGACCCGTATTCTGAAAGGCTCGCTGCCCAAATATGCCCTGTAGTTTTCCCAAAAGGTGAAATCCGCGAACATTTCCGGTTTGGGTGCCCCATACTTCATATCCGTAATCCTCAAAACTTTGCTCCCGTATGCTATTGGTCTCAAGACTGTCTTCCCGTTCCACTACTGTTTTTGATGGAGTATGTCAGAGATCGCTACCACCGACGCGTCAGTGTCCAATACGTGCATTTCCTTCACACAGTTCCCTTTTTTATTCTTTGAAACGACTATTCTGCCGCGTTATTCCACATGAATTTCTTGTCTTTATGCCTCATGAGTTGTTGCATCGGATATACTTTGTCCGCTAAGCCCTTGATGCACTCCCTGTAGTGATTGGCGAATCTTATAAAGCTCATCAAGTGGTGCTCAGTTATTATGCGACTTCCATTTCAGTACTGCCGCTACCGCGTCCGGGTCTGGTCGGATGCCATGCTTGTCTACTATCTCCCCAGGTAATTTTTGTGTCCTTCAGAATCTCACACTTCGAGGGCTTACATTTCAATCCTGCCCTCATTATGTATGCGAATACCTAATCCAGTCGTTCGATGTGGCCTTTCAGGGTAAATAGTGCAATCACCAGGTCATATACCTAACACATCACCAAATTGCCATATTTCTTCGTCACAGTTGTCAGTGCTTGTGCCATCAGTCATTGGAATGTGGCTGTCGCGTTGCAAAAACCCAAGGGCATCCTTTTCCCTTGGAACAATCCCAGCTCGCAAGCATACCTCGTTTTGTCCTTGTCTTGTTTCCTAAGTTTCCTAAGGGTCGACCTGCCAAAAGGTCGACCCTAGATCAAGAGTTATAAGGAAACTTGCATCTGCCAACTTTGAAAGAATCTCGTCTATTCTAGGTAAGGATAAGAATTCTTCACCGTGACGGAGTTCAGGTATCGAAAGTCACAACAAAATCTAAGTTGTTCTCCTGTCTTTTTGGCCATCACTACTCCACACGCCCACAGTGATTTGGATGGTTCAATCATATCATACTCTTGTAGGGTCTATACAACTTTTCTACGTGCATCCGATTTGTTTGGGGGTCATACGCCTCGTCCCTCCCTGAGCGGACCGCCGACTCCTCTAGCTGTTATTCATGCTCAACGAACTTGCAGCACCCGATTTCTGCTTTATGTCTCAAAAAACACCCTGATTCCTATCTAGGACGTCCATGATGGCTTTGAGCTGTTCGTCTGTTACCTTTCTCCTTAAGTGTTCAATTTCTGGTAATACCGGCTTATTCACTTCCAATTCCTCTGGTGTGCGTTTTTCTGGAAAATTGGAACAGCTCGAAAGTCCATCGTCTGTCTCTGACTTAAGTGATGTCACAAGACCTGATGAATCTTTTATTTTCTTTAATCGTCTCAAGATACAAATCTTGTCCCCATGATTTTGACAATCAAGAACTTCACTCTCTTTTACATTTTCAGTCATTTCATATCGAGTTTTCACAGGTAAAGCGTATCTCAGTTTCCTTCCCCTCTGGATTGTGATGGGTATATCAAGAGTATTCAACAAGACACTGACGCAGAGACCGCTCTTGGTTATCGAGATTGATCTTCCTAAAACAGCAGCACTTTGACTATACGGATTCGGTACTATACGTACTTGTTTGTTTTCACTTAGTTCATTATAGTTCTTCATTCTGAAATTTACTATCGCAGCCTCGTTCGCTTTTAACCTGACCCTCCTACTCAAGAAAACTGGAGCTTTATTCTCATTTGCCATTATCAAATTTATCGGTTTAATTACGTACTTCCTTTCCAGGTTCCCAATCCTGAGCATCGCATTGTTACGATCAGTCGTTACATCACAATTCCCGATGAAATCTCTGCCTAAAATGATTTGATCAGACTTATCTAGATTCTCCATCATCAGAAAACTCATCCACAGATTGCGCTCCACCAGATTCAGATATGTTATCGGTGTCCCGCCTAGAACCCGCAACGCCCTCTTGTTCGCCACTTACAGCCGTATCCGTGAATCAATCAGGTCGTCTTTGTCGAATTTCATCTCTTTCCATGTTTCAATTGATATTACACTCAAGACAGCCCCTGTGTCCAACAGTCCTCGTAGTGGAGTCTTCCTTCCTCTTATGTTCAGTACATGTGCAGATATATCTGCTTCCGTTCCTAGATGCATGGCATCGTCTTCCAGCATGGCGCAGTGCCCAATCGATCTCACCTTGATTTCTTTCCAACCTATGTAGATTTGACCGGTTAGATCTTTGTCACATGTTATCAGAGTTTTTGTGTAGATGTTGATTTCATCTATAAGGACCAAAGGCTTCCGTGTACCTGCTGTCTATCCTAATCGATTTACCACCGCCTCTCATGATTAATGCCCTGAGTGCTCTAGAAGGGGTTTGTGGGCTTATGATTCGTAAGTAGTCAGCATACACAACGATGAACATAAGTGTTTGGGCACTAGGTTCACTCAGGTTCCTCGTAACTTCATTCCCACCCACCGTGATTATTGACATGATTCTCACCCCAATCTTCGTGATACCAAAGGGTTTCCCGGTCACCATTTTCAAGGTGTTACAATTACCCTTGCTTGTCAAGTTGCCTCCGGTCTCTGGTTCTGGTCTCGTCATCGAGAGTGTCTCGTTCCTCTTTTGTCTTTATATTTATTGTTTTAGCCTTTACTCCATTTCTCTGGTCGCCAAGTCTTGCTCCACCTTATTGATGGCCTCTTCAGCTGCTTTCTCGTAATTTATTTCTAGTGCACTCCTTGTCTTGCCCCCCCCCCCACCGGCATCTCTCACCTCGGTCACGGCCTTTGGAGTCTTCGTCTAATTCACCACTCGACGCCTCCTTGGTCGGCAGGTCATTCTCAGCTTGTCTTATTCGGTTGTTTTAAACCAGCAGCAAGTGCCAATTTGTGTTTTGGGTGACGTTGATTCTTCACTGCTTCCCAAAACAGGGGACAGTCTATCCTGAAGTGGCCCTCTTGATTGCAGAAAAAACACTTCGCGTCTATTTTGATGATCAAGCCACTGTAAAACTCGTCTTCTTCATCAGGTGCATATCACAAGCTTTTCATGCCTTGTTTGTAAGTGGTGCAATCCGCTACGTGATGATCTGCCGAGCCACAATTCGCACACGACCTTTGTTTGTCCATGACATATCTAGGCTTGTACCATGTCGAACTTTGTTGTTGGCTCCTCCCTTGCATGTTTCTGATTTCCGAAGAAGATTACTTTTTCAGTTTCACTAACATGTGCTCACTGGACTTCTGTCTCATCTCCTCTGGTTTTGGTGCATTATATTTTGATAGCGTATAGTATGTTGCGAACATCGTTCTCAAGTCGTCGCTTTTCACCCCATCTATAAGCTTTGAAGCGATGCTAAAGTTTCTTCAGTTAGATGATTCTTCTGGACCGCTCCTTCTTCTCAAGCTCTTAAGATCATCGAGAAATCGATCAATTGATTCATCGTCTCTGTGTCTCTTTTTCTCAAATCTCATCATTGCTTGATGTCGCTTCATTGCTGATCCGAATTGATTCAACAGTATTTCGAAAACTTTTTCTGCAGTATCACGTTCCTCTTCCTTTTTGGCTACCACGCCATTTAGTGTCTCCAGGTTGCTTAATATTGCTGTGCAAGCATGTCTTTCATCATTGAGAATGTCTTGCTCAAAATGCAGTCTCATTACCTCAACCCAGGTATCTATGCAACCATCTAAACCGTCTTTGAATTCTTTCGGTTTACTGAAGGTCTTTCTGGATTTACCTCCTCCTCTATAAGTTGAGTCCGTATTTCTTGTGGCTAACGCTTCAAGTGTCCTGTTCATCTTTTCCCAAGTACTTGCCCATGTCATGGCATCAGGTGTTATACTCGTGTGTGCACTTGAATCCCTTGATATCCTTGTCGTGTTTGAGGATTCCCCTCTCGTAACTGGTTTGGTCATCCCTGACGCTATGCTGTTGTTGATCCGGGGTAATGAGGTAGACTGATGTTTCTTGCGTTGCGGTTCCACAAAATCGACCCTTGTTCCAGGTTGCTCTTCTGCTTTATCTGCTTTACTGTTTTCTCCTGAGCAATAGAGTTTCTCAAAAGTGCATCCAACTTCGATTGTATTGCACAATAACGTTCTGCAAGGTCCCTGCTCATTGTGTTCATTCTCGTCTCTAGATTCCACAACTTGTCATTCACAGTATCATACCGTTACTTTATCTCCTCCATAACTTTTTTGATATGTTTCTCTCGCTCCTTAGCTGTTGTATCCATTTTGTCCGCCATCTGTTGTAGCTTCTCTTCAGTGGCCCTTGCCAGGACAAAGTAGTTATCTAGGTATTCACTCTTGTTATGTCGAAATTCATTCTCCAATTCCTGGCGGTCTTCCTCGCCGCACTTTAGCTTTTTGTCTATCCGTTCCATTCTTGTCATCAAGTCACCCAGCTCAACTAAAGATACTTTTGACTCTGTCGCTCGCTCATTTTGGTGACCCGTTGTTCCTTCTGTGACTTGCTCCTTCTCCTGGTTACTTTTCGTTGTTATCGCGGAAACCGTACCAAGAATTTTTTGCTTTTTTCAGTCACTGTTGTTACCTCCTCTTTTTCTCTCAGTTTCTTTCCAACCATTGCCGCCAATTTCTTTGTGAACGGTGATCTCTTCGTTTGTGAGTCGTATTTTATTGTTTCTGGCGCATTGTTGGTGTTTTCGTGCCCATTACCTATGGGGGAGAACTCTATTTTCTTTGTTCTTCTCATGCTCTTAAGATCATCCAGAAATCGATCAATTGATTCATCGTCTCTGTGTCTCTTTTTCTCAAATCTCATCATTGCTTGATGTCGCTTCATTGCTGATCCGAATTGATTCAACAGTATTTCGAAAGCTTTGTCTGCAGTATCACGTTCCTCTTCCTTTTTGGCTACCACGCCATTTAGTGTCTCCAGGTTGCTTAATATTGCTGTGCAAGCATGTCTTTCATCATTGAGAATGTCTTGCTCAAGATGCAGTCTCATTACCTCAACCCAGGTATCTATGAAACCATCTAAACCGTCTTTGAATTCTTTCGGTTTACTGAAGGTCTTTCTGGATTTACCTCCTCCTCTGTAAGTTGAGTCCGTATTTCTTGTGGCTAACGCTTCAAGTGTCCTGTTCATCTTTTCCCAAGTACTTGCCCATGTCATGGCATCAGGTGTTATACTCGTGTGTGCACTTGAATCCCTTGATATCCTTGTCGTGTTTGAGGATTCCCCTCTCGTAACTGGTTTGGTCATCCCTGACGCTATGCTGTTGTTGATCCGGGGTAATGAGGTAGACTGATGTTTCTTGCGTTGCGGTTCCACAAAATCGACCCTTGTTCCAGGTTGCTCTTCTGCTTTATCTGCTTTACTGTTTTCTCCTGAGCAATAGAGTTTCTCAAAAGTGCATCCAACTTCGATTGTATTGCACAATAACGTTCTGCATGGTCCCTGCTCATTGTGTTCATTCTCGTCTCTAGATTCCACAACTTGTCATTCACAGTATCATACCGTTACTTTATCTCCTCCATAACTTTTTTGGTATGTTTCTCTCGCTCCTTAGCTGTTGTATCCATTTTGTCCGCCATCTGTTGTAGCTTCTCTTCAGTGGCCCTTGCCAGGACAAAGTAGTTATCTAGGTATTCACTCTTGTTATGTCGAAATTCATTCTCCAATTCCTGGCGGTCTTCCTCGCCGCACTTTAGCTTTTTGTCTATCCGTTCCATTCTTGTCATCAAGTCACCCAGCTCAACAAAAGTACTTTTGACTCTGTCGCTCGCTCATTTTGGTGACCCGCTGTTCCTTCTGTGACTTGCTCCTTCTCCTGGTTACTTTTCGTTGTTATCGCGGAAACCGTACCAAAAATTTTGCTTTTTTCAGTCACTGTTGTTACCTCCTCTTTTTCTCTCAGTTTCTTTCCAACCATTGCCGCCAATTTCTTCGTGAACGATGATCTCTTCGTTTGTGAGTCGTATTTTATTGTTTCTGGCGCATTGTTGGTGTTTTCGTGCCCATTACCTATGGGGGAGAACTCTATTTTCTTTGTTACTGGCTCTTCTACATTCTGCATAGGTGCCGACTCCGTCGTTTTCCGTTCCATTCCATCTATGCTTTGCTCTGGCGCCTCATAGTTGATTTTGGCGATGGTTAAAGTCGTCTGATCAATTAGTCTTTTGCTCTTTGTTGCTTCTTGAGTTGACCATGTTAACTGAAACATTTTTTCTCATTACTCACGGGATTGGGGATGTTTGTGTCGACTATTGGTTTAGCTTAAGTCCTACCCATTTTTTTCTGGTAACGACACTTTTGTTCTTTTACAGGCCAACACTTTTTCACAGTCTGAATGTCAGTTTGTTTATCCCAATTTCCTTCCCTAGTATTTTAGAAACCTTAAATCATGTGTCTTGACCCTTCTCCGAAGTGTTAGAACCCTTAGCTCAAGTATTGGGACCCTTAGCCGAAATGTTGGGGCACTTAGCTCAAGTGTTGAGACCCTTCGCCAAAGTGTTGGGACCCTTCGCTAGAGTGTTGGGACCCTTCGCCCCTTCGCTAAAATATTGGGACCCTTCGCCAATGTGTTGGGATCCTTCGCTGAAGTGTTGGGACCCTTCGCTGAAGTGTTGGGAGCCTTCGCTGAAGTGTTGGGACCGTTCGCTAAAGTGTTGGGACCCTTGACCAAAGTGTCGGGACCCTTCGACAAAGTGTTGGGACCCTTCGACAAAATTTTGGGACCCTTTGACCAAGTGTTCGCACCCTTCGCTAAAGTGTTGGGACCCTTCGCTAAAGTCTTGAGGCATTTTCGCTAAAGTGTTGGAACCCTTCGATAAAGTGTTGGGACCCTTCGCTAAAGTGTTGGGACTCTTCGACAAAGTGTTGGAACCCTTCGCTAAAGTGTTGGGACCCTTAAATTGCTAACCCAGGACTCAAGTGTTGGGACCCTTAAACTGCTATCCCACGACTCAAGTGTTGGGACCCTTAAAATGGTATCCCAGGACTCAATTGTTGAGACCCTTAAATCACTATCCCACAACTGCCACAAAAACTCTTGTTACTTCCTACAATACCGTGGCTCGGGTGTTTGGAAACTTTATCCACTATCTCAGCACCACTTCGGAACTCGTGTGTAGAATTTCCCCGTACCTTAACTCGAGTGTTGGGATGATCAATCCAATATCCCGGTACCACCTCTAGAGCTCGTGTAAAAAGTCCCCCAAAACCCTATTCTGTTAACCAAATTTTATTGAGTTTTCCCGAAATTCCCTTTCTTTCTTAAATCCAATGCAAGTCAAAATACAACTCGTTTTTATGTCTTCTTGTGGTTGCAGATGCACCAATGCTGCTAAAAAAAATACTGAAAACCGAAAACAGTAAAAGCCAGCTAAGAAAAAAAATAAAAACAGGAAAAAATCAATGTACCCAAAATGCAAAGGTGTCAAGGGCCGTCTTTCGAAAAAAAATGTCTGTTACCTGACTGTCTCGCACTTTTCCTCCCCCCAATTAACGTTCTTATGGGGCGTTCCCTTGTTGGGTTTCAAAAACCGTCTATTTCAAGTATCCTACCTCAATTCGAGTTTATTACCAGGTTCATCTGCGTTCGAACTCTTGTCCTGGGTCTGTAAGATCGTTCCGGACTCTAGTCTATCTAGTGTAACTAAATCGACGATATCAATTGTATAGTTACTGTAAGGAAGCCCCCCTTTTTACAATTTCCAACCACCAGCCTCTATCTTAAACAGCCCCCCATTTACGCCAAAAATACCCTAAGCGCGATGGGTGCTAAACCTCTCAAGAGAAAGTCCGTAGAACCTGTTTACAGGTTCTGCTCAAGTAAAAACGTTTCCTCAAAACAGTGGGGACCCGCTTATCCACTTTTACACTTATCTCCTAAAGTATAAAGTAGGTTTTAACGATACTCCTTCGACCACACAGAACACCCTTGTGATCCCTTCTCACTGCTGTACTGCTCTGATCACGCTGCTGGTAGTCTTTTCCCAGTCGCGTGTCCTGAGAACCAGTTGGCCACTTGCCTGGTCACCTGTTCCAGTCAAATATTACAGTGGTCCTCTGAGGTTGCAAGGCTATCTGAAAACCCTTTCAACGCCCCCAACTCGGGCACCTGCTTAACGTTGCTGATTTGATCGAGACGATGGGTATTATTGAAAACTGTATGAGTATACTATTTTAATTAATATAAAGGTCTGATCCACCTGATCTGAAAACCAAAAACCCTGTCTTTTTTGATTTTTTTACCGTTTTTTGCTCCCATTTTTAACCTTTCCATTTTTTTGTTTTGATTTTTGTCTTCTAATCGTTTTTTTGTCCCTCTAGTGGCCCCCTTTCTCGGTTAGCTAGGCCTCGTTTCGGAAAGCGCACCGGGAAATTTTCTCGAGTTTTCTTAAAAAACTATCACGGTACAACCAGAAGGTGGACGCGTTCCCGTTGAACCAAACCACCGGTACTCTAGCATGGTTATGTAGCCCGGAGCTGCGTCAAGTGGGTTCGATCCCGTAGTCTTGATGTCGTAAAAACATCCAGGAGCGCCATAATAAGTAACAGTCGCCTACTTAAGTCGCATATGGGGCTAACACAAGGCTACTACAAAATACCCCCCACTCTAGAAATAAGAACGCCCCATCATGGTCAGGTCTTAAAATACCTAAAACACGCAAACGCCCTTAAGACAGGTTCGGAACTCAGGCATACTTTTAGTTTTTTTTGGACAGTGGACCCTTGATCCATTTCAGTTGGATCAACCTAAAAAATGCCTTATCTCAACATTAACACATAAAATATACTCAAAAACTTTAAATTAGGTACTCACATACCGAACCGACCTCTAAAATTAAATAAAAAAATTGGTAAAATAACTGTAGAGTTGATTTAAGATAGTTAAGTCTAACTCGAGAAGTTTGAATAAATAAGTTTGAACTCAACAAGTTTTTCTTTCTAGACCATTGGGCAGCTTCAGCTGTCCACCTTTCCACTCAAGTGTCACTCTCGTCCAATTGATCGTTCTTCGCTATCGCTCTTACTGAATTCTTGACTTCCTATCGGGAACAAGATGGCTCTACTCGTGTCGCATAATTCTGGTAAAATTGCGAAGAGCAACTTTACTCTCGTGTTTTCTAGCAACTTTTCCGCAATTATCACTCGAATCTTCTGTCTGACTTTTTTTCGTATTTTCAGTTGTCGCGAAAAACTCGAACACGATAGGTTCAATTCAAAATTTTGAAAAAAAAATTGTGTCCCCAGAAATCAAGGTTAAACGTTCAACTCAAGGTCAAACTTCCAAATATGACCGACTGGAACATGGTCCTTTAACACTAAGTCATCACTCTTTTTGGGCTAACGGCTAGAAGACACAGATTAACTTAGTTACTTGTAAAATAGTGAGCTCATTGCTGGGTCTCAGTCTCCCAGACTACGAGGTCACTCCCAAAAACAGGGCTACTACTTATTATCATATTACGATTGTTTTTGTTCAGTAGACAAAATCATCATATCCATCGGAGATGGATCAACCCTTTCACTCAACTCCTAGCTTCTCATTATCTGAAAACGACTTTTAATGTTATTTGATTCAATTCAGGTCATATCCGGAAGCTAAAAGTTGTTAAAGTGCAGTTTCAGGTTCGTCCCGAGACCCTTCCGGATTCTGTAATCCGGACGAAGAGCGGTCTTGTCGTCCTTCTGGAAGGGTGGTAAAACCCTCCCGATACCCCTACGAATTTTTGGGAATTGCTCGGTAACGATTGTACAGCTACAATAGTTATAATTTGGACAGTCTCGGTCGTAACTTCAATAAAGTTCTCAAGTTTTTTTTCTACTATCGAGAGTCAATGTTGCCGTTTTTTTTAGCAAAAATTGGTCTGTTCCGATTTTCGTGGTTTTCAGTGTTCGCGAAATCTCAAGGTTGTGACGTGTCTTTAGTTTCAAACGAGTTCTTAAAAAAATAATTTGTCACTTCAAATTAACCTCTCCCAATTCGACAAACTGCACGATAAGGACTGTTAATCCATCGAAGTTAGCAATTTTCTCACTCGGCTGCTCTTATAAAGCTTCGATATTGCCATGCGTTTTGGCGCTATTCTGATCGAAGATCACAAATCAAAGATCTTTTTGTTCGGTTGTTTCAAAAAGCTGTTTTGAATTCAACGTGAAGTCATGCTTTACGTCTCCTTTTGGTTTTTTTTGGTAAGATATAATCTTTACCCTCATTTAATTTCGCTTTTGAGCACCAACCTTCCACTTTCCACAGATCTTCCTATATCTTTTCTGGCATCGCAGTTACAAGCTTGAAATCATCCGCATAACCGAACGCTTGTCATTTTGTCATTTTTTTCGGTAAGTGGTTCACATATATTATGAAAAACAGCGAGCCGAGAAAGGAACCTTGAGGTACACCACTAGTGACAGGTACTGTTTCAGAAATGCAGTCATTTACTCAACATGAAGTTGGCGGTCAGATAAGTTACTAGTAACTATTTAAAAAAACCTCCAATGTCTAAATTTTCAAATTTTTGGAGCAACAAGTCGTGTGGAACACTATCAAAAGCTCGTGCAACACAAAATGTTAGTTTTACTTTTCATCGTTTTTTTTTTGGATAGGAGGTTTAAAAACAAAAGTAGTTGTGTAAAAACTGACCGATGTCTTCGAAATCCGTGTTGCGATTGGCCTAGTTGCTATTCAGAATGTGATACAATTCATCAAAAATATGTTTTTCCA